CCATCACTGCTTTAAAGTACCGGTAGTTTTAAACACTCATTTTAAAGTGTAGTCATCTATTCGGCGCATTTGAGCTGTCGGTATTTTCTACTATACAAGAAGGAATCTGTATAAAAATGACACAATCTGCACTGTAGGGTTTTTAAGTATATTTAAACTTATTTGTCCAGATGTGTGTTGAATTTTGTTGTTCAAAAAGGTATCTCTTTGATAAATCGTTATTAGGTGTGATTATTACAGATCATTTTAAAAAGAAAGTATTGAGCCTTAATTTAAAATAAGTCTCATTCCTTAATTTCAATAAATACGGCTTCCAGGAATTTTTAAATTAGCATCTTTTTTGACACTTTTAGGTTACACGAAAATGTAAGTTTTGTTTCAACATTTTTTTTCTCAATATTTTTCCAATCCAACCCAACAATTATGATACATCATTGTAAAGACAAAGCTTTGAGCTTTAATTTAGAATAAGTTTCATTCCTTAATTTCAATAAGCACGGCTTCCAGGAATTTTTAAATTAACATCTTTTTTGACACTTTTAGGTTACACGAAAATGTAAGTTTTATTTCAACANACGAAAATGTAAGTTTTGGTTCAATATTTTTCCAATCCAACCCAACAATTATGATACATCATTTTAAAGAGAAAGCTTTGAGCTTTAATTTAGAATAAGTTTAATTCCTTAATTTCAATAAATACAGCTTCCAGAAATTTTTAAATTAGCATCTTTTTTGACACTTTTAGGTTACACGAAAATGTAAGTTTTGCTTCAAAATTTTTTTCCCAATATTTTTCCAATCCAACCTAATAATTATGATACATCATTTTAAGGAGAAAGCTTTGAGCTTTAATTTAGAACAAGCCTCATTCCTTAATTTCAATAAGCACAGCTTCCAGAAATTTTTAAATTAGCATCTTTTTTGACACTTTTAGGTTATACGAAAATCTAAGTTTTGTTTCAACATTTTTTTTTCTCAATATTTTTCCAATCCAACCCATCAATTATTATACATCATTTTAATGAGAAAGCTTTGAGCTTTAATTTACTGCAAGTCTCATTCCTTAATTACAATAAACACGGCTTCCAGGAATTTTTAAATTAACATCTTTTTGACATTTTTAGGTTATACGAAATTGTAAGTTTTGTTTCAACATTTTTTTTTTTCAATATTTTTCTAATCCAACCCAACAATTATTATACATCATTTTAAAGAGAAAGCTTTGAGCTTCAATTTAGAATAAGTCTCATTCCTTAATTTCAATAAACACGGCCTCCATGAATTTTTAAATTAGCATCTTTTTGACATTTTTAGGTTATACGGAAATGTAAGTTTAATTTCAACATTTTTTTTCTCCACATTTTTGTGATCCAACACAACCATTATTATACATCATTTTAAAGAGAAAGCTTTATGCTTCAATTTAAAATAAGTTTCATTTCTTAATTTCAATAAACACGACTTCCAGGAATTTTTGAATTTGCATCTCTTTTGACACTTAGATTTCGCGAAAATGTTAGTTTTTGCTCAATAAGTTTTTTCTCAATATTTTATCAGATTTTCGTCGTTCTGTAAATACAGGTCTGATAAATAAATATTCAAATTTACTGCGTCCACGAAAATGTCGCAGCGCAAGTTCAAAAGAAAGAGGATGTTGTAAAAATTGTTAATAAAAAATGTATTATTTTTATATTAGCAATAATAGTTTTAAAATAATATCAAGAACTGCTCTCGGCAATATTTGAGGTATCCGTTGTTAGAGAAAGCGTAGCTTGTGGTGATGGATGAGCAAGGATGGCTGATTTAGCTAGTTCTTTCTTAGATGTTTGTGTTTAAAAGAAACGTTGTGTTCAGTCGACCATGTTGATATTAATTTGTTAATTTGTTGGAATAAAGGGTATTCGATAGATTATATAGAGGACCCAAAATGTTGGAAATGTTAGGAATAAACCTATGATAGAAATTTATCATTCCTAAAAACCTTTGCAATTGTTTCAATGTTGTTGAAGTTGGTAATTCAGAAATTGCGGAAATTCTGGATTGAGAAGGTCGGATTCCTTCTGCAGAAATTTGATGACTTGGAAAATCTAGAGAAGTTACACCAAATACACATTTCGAAGGTTGAAAAGAGATGTTGTAACAACTTAATCTTTTCTTACTAAATCTCTCGCTTTTACTGGCAACGAGAATGTCGTCCAGGTAAACAAAAAGAAAATGCAGCCCAGACAGCACTTCATTTATAAATCTTTGGAAAGTTTGAATTGCATTCCTGAGACCAAAAGAAATTCGAGTACAATTCAACACTCTATATCTCGAAATTGTGCATTTTAGAGGATAAGTTGATAGAAATTTTTTTTTAAATATTTGGACAAGCTATGAAACACCCTGTATATACATATGTAATTATACGAGCATATAATGAGGGCTATTATTCACTAACGTTAAGTTTGAACCCAAGTAAATAATAAGCTTATTATATGTGAGTAGAATACTTTGTCCACGACTACTATTGAAATTGATTTCATAAATTTATTTGTTTAAAAGAAATTTTTGAATAAAGTTTAAACGTCAATGTGACACAAATTCAATGTTACTAATTGTAACCAACTTCACAACAATTTGTCAAAATGAAATGTCAATTTTAGAAAACGTCTATTTTTTACGAAAATTAATTAATTTATGTTTAAATTAGACGAAAAAAAGGAATTTGTTTAAGTTTTTTTAATATCTAACCTAAAAAACAGAATTAAATTGACGTTATTCAAAAATTTGTTTAAAAAAATAAATTTATGGAATCAATTTTAATAGTCGTGGACAAAATATAATATAATAAGTTATTATATTCTCATATAATAATTAGGGCACGGAACTTTTGTAACAAAACGATACGATTTCCCCCCTCCACTCGTTCTCAGCAGAAAATTTCATACAATAGTTGTTCTAAATTGCATTCTAAAACTATTTTCTCAATTTAAAAAATTTATAAAAATATATATATCATATTTTTTTTGAGATTACGTTCTTAATTATTGATCAAATCAAAAATTTGTATTAACAATATTTGTTTAAAATTACTTCAGGAACAGTGTTTGTTAATACAATTTTTTGCTAACTTGAAATTTTAATTTCCCTCTGAATAGTATGCTATCAAAATTAATTATCTCAACAATTATTGTTTTTATTAAAAAATGTTTTAAATAAAATTTGTTTCAATTTCGATTTTGAATCAATTATCTTAATAAAAAATTTTTACATCTCTATTAATTAAGCATCTAAGTATAATTATGTATAAAAACGGAAAAATTATTATTTTGAGGTTATCTCCTTAATTATTGATTAAATCAAAAAAAATTGTTGACAAAGTTTGTTTAGAATTGTTTCAGGAACAATTTTTGTTAACACAATTTTTTTCTAACTTGAAATTTTAATTTCCCACTGAACAGTATGCTACAAAAATTAATATTTTTGAGGTTATATCCTTATTGTTGATTTAATCAAAAAATGTTGTTAACAAAATTTGTTTAGAATTACTTCAGGAACAGTGTTTGTTAATACAATTTTTTGCTAACTTGAAATTTTAATTTCCCTCTGAATAGTATGCTATCAAAATTAATTATCTCAATAATTATTGTTTTTATCAAAAAATGTTTTAAATAAAATTTGTTTCAATTTCGATTTTGAATCAATTATCTTAATAAAAAATTTTTACATCTCTATTAATTAAGCATCTAAGTATAATTATGTATAAAAACGGAAAAATTATTATTTTGAGGTTATCTCCTTAATTATTGATTAAATCAAAAAAAATTGTTGACAAAGTTTGTTTAGAATTGTTTCAGGAACAATTTTTGTTAACACAATTTTTTTCTAACTTGAAATTTTAATTTCCCACTGAACAGTATGCTACAAAAATTAATATTTTTGAGGTTATATCCTTATTGTTGATTTAATCAAAAAATGTTGTTAACAAAATTTGTTTAGAATTACTTCAGGAACAGTGTTTGTTAATACAATTTTTTGCTAACTTGAAATTTTAATTTCCCTCTGAATAGTATGCTATCAAAATTAATTATCTCAATAATTATTGTTTTTATCAAAAAATGTTTTAAATAAAATTTGTTTCAATTTCGATTTTGAATCAATTATCTTAATAAAAAATTTTTACATCTCTATTAATTAAGCATCTAAGTATAATTATGTATAAAAACGGAAAAATTATTATTTTGAGGTTATCTCCTTAATTATTGATTAAATCAAAAAAAATTGTTGACAAAGTTTGTTTAGAATTGTTTCAGGAACAATTTTTGTTAACACAATTTTTTTCTAACTTGAAATTTTAATTTCCCACTGAACAGTATGCTACAAAAATTAATATTTTTGAGGTTATATCCTTATTGTTGATTTAATCAAAAAATGTTGTTAACAAAATTTGTTTAGAATTACTTCAGGAACAGTGTTTGTTAATACAATTTTTTGCTAACTTGAAATTTTAATTTCCCTCTGAATAGTATGCTATCAAAATTAATTATCTCAATAATTATTGTTTTTATCAAAAAATGTTTTAAATAAAATTTGTTTCAATTTCGATTTTGAATCAATTATCTTAATAAAAGATTTTTACATCTCTATTAATTAAGCATCTAAGTGTAATTATGTATAAAAACGGAAAAATTATTATTTTGAGGTTATCTCCTTAATTATTGATTAAATCAAAAAAAAGTGTTGACAAAGATTGTTTAGAATTGTTTCAGGAACAATTTTTATTAACACAATTTTTTTCTAACTTGAAATTTTAATTTCCCTCTGAATAGTATGGTATCAAAATTAATTATCTCAACAATTATAGTTTTTATTAAATAAAATTTGTTTCAATTTCGATTTTGAATCAAATACAAAGTATCGATTTGTTACAAAAGTCTTGCCCTGATACTAATATATTATTTTTATTAGTGTGAAGGTTATAATTTTAAGCCAAATTTTTAGCATTTCCAATTTTCTAATAACAAACTAATTTTTTAGCATCCAGTTTATTGTATGAACGTAGTTGGAACACAAAACGCGCATAACCTGATCAGTATTTCAACCGACGGTCGTCTCTGCTCTTGGTCTTTAGACATGTTGAGTCAACCCCAAGAAATCTTAGAGCTACAAAGAGCTCCATCTCGACCGGTCGCCGTGATGTGTCTCGATTTTCCGCACTCAGACGTAAATAATTTCGTGGTCGGTTGTGAAGACGGCGCTGCTTACGCAGCTTGTCGTCACGGTGCTAAAGCGGGAATCACCGAGGCTTACGAAGGACATCGAGGCCCCATCGCTGGACTTAGTGTTAATGCGGTTCAAGGGGGGATCGATTTTTCTTATATGTTTCTTACATCATCGTTTGATTGGACTGTTAAGTTATGGAGTTTGCGGGTATAAATTATTTTTTTTTAATTGATTTAAATTAAGTTAATTTTTTTTTCATTTAGGATAATAAGCCAATTTATTCGTTCGAAGATAACGGCGATTATGTGTTGGATGTAGCTTGGTCCCCGGTTCACCCCGCTTTATTTGCGACTGTCGATTGTGGGGGGAAATTAGATTTATGGAATTTGAATTTAGATACGGAAGTCCCAGCGGCCTCGGCGGTTATTGAAGGGGGCCCAGGGTTGAATAAAGTTTCTTGGACCCCGTCTGGTTTGCATGTAACTGTTGGGGATAGTCAAGGAAAGTTGTGGGTTTATGATGTTGCTGAGGTTAGTTAATCAATATTCTTGTTTACATTTAATTTAAGCTTAAAATGATTTAGAATTTCGCTCATCCACGACACGATGAATGGAATAAATTCTTATACACAACTCAAGAGTTGCGTAATAATCAAATTGATGAGGAATCTGATACTTTGTGGAATGTAGCTGCGTCCACATCTTTAGGGTCAACTATAGGGGGTCCTTACCCATAAAAATAAGAAATTAATAACAAAAATAAGTATAAATAAATGAAATTTCCAATACGCCTAGTATTTTAAAATAATAGGTTTTATTTTGTTTTCAAAATGTTTGTATATTTATGCAGCAGTAATATTTATTTAAAAATTGTAATCAACGTACTGTGGAAAAGCAATCAATGGATTAACTAATATATTAATATTGATAGGGAGGAATGCGGATAAAAAAAATAATAAATTAAAACAAGAGGGAGATTTATTTTCACATTTAAGCAATTGTAATGTTAATAACCCGCTTGAAACTTAATAAATAATAAAATAAACTAATTCCCCCCATTAAATAATATAGGATGTATTATAAAAGAAAAATCGATGATGAAAGATGGGGAATATATTTTTTGTTTAATTTACTTTACTACCATTTAATAATTTATTTGTACCTTTTTCTATACTAGCATTTAGTTTATTACTTTTTTTGCAACAATTTCTTTTTTGTTTCGTCGCTAATCAAAATTGGATTAAGAAATTCTAGATAGTTTTAGTTATTATATTATGTAGCTTTAATCTCATTGTGATTTATTTTTTAAAAACGATCTAATTCCACCTTATCGGAAATGAGCTTGAAAAATAAACTTGATTTTTTTGGGAACTGAAGCTTTTTTAACCTACATCTTAATAACAAAGCTTCCAAGACCTGAGAGAGAATTTTTAGTTCCATCCAAAACGAGAGGATTAGTAAACTTTAAAAAATCATACCGACTTTGTTAATAGGAATTAAGAAACGACTTTTATCTTAAATTAAAGCTTAAACTTTAATCTTTGATTCTATGTATAATAAGTAATACGTTTGATGATAAAGTTTGTTTGTAAAATCGAGAAATGTCAATGTTTAATTATAGCAAAAATCGAAAATATTTGTTAAACTTTAAAAAATCATACCGACTTTGTTAATAGGAATTAAGAAACGACTTGTATCTTAAATTAAAGCTTAAACTTTAATCTTTAAGTCTATGTATAATAAGTAATACGTTTGATGATAAAGTTTGTTTGTAAAATCGAGAAATGTCAATGTTTAATTATAGCAAAAATCGAAAATATTTGTTAAACTTTAAAAAATCATACCGACTTTGTTAATAGGAATTAAGAAACGACTTGTATCTTAAATTAAAGCTTAAACTTTAATCTTTGATTCTAAGTATAATAAGTATAATGTTTGATGATAAAGTTTATTTATAAAATCGAGAAATGTCAATGTCTAATCGTAGCCGAGGTCGTTTGCGGCCGAGGCAGAATATTTAAAACATGTTTTACTTATTATATCTTGGAAATATCAATTTTAGACAATCTTTGGCATCATATATCACACTCAGTAGAGATAATCCTTTATGATCTTGGTATTGTAATAAAGCTCTGAGATAGGTTACATGAGAGAGAGACATAACCTCAATTCATTTGACATTTAATTTTGTGTTGCTCATAATTCTTTTAAAACTGTTAATATTAATTCAAAACCATCCAAAACGAGAAGATCAGTGTTAGCTACACCTAATTTATTCGATTCCAGACGATTTTCAACGATTTTGATTTTGGAAATTGAATTTTAAATTTGTAAACTAACAAACTTCTTTTGTGGTTGGAGAATTTTAAAACCTCCAATGGATGGCTGAAATAGAAGGGCATATGCGTTAAATACGAAGTCTCATCCAGATTAATGAAGAATTAAAGGAGATATTAATAAAATAAGTTTTGGTATTTTGAGTAATTCGAAAGAAATCCGATAGATGGCGCTTTCGAAATATTTAAAATATTTTTAAAAGAAGAAATGGCGCGAAACCCATCTACCAATGAGGATAGAGGGTTTAAAAAAAAAAAAAAAAATTTTGGAGAAGGGGAAAAGGCTATATAAGAAGAGGAAAAAGTTGAGCGAAGTCAGTCCGATTTAGTAAAGACAAGAGGCCTGTTAAATTTGATTAAAAAAAAATCTAACCTAAAAAAATCCAAAATAATTTCCTAACCTAAAAATTAGTTCTCCGATAAGTTCAATCCAAACTTAACACCGAATATAGATTTTTTTTTTATTAACCTAAAAAAGAAAAGGAGCAAAATTTAATTAAATAAATTGAGAAGAAATTACCTGATTCCTTATCCAAACAATATACGATTGAAGAATAATTATCTGAGCCGAAACTTTCCGGATTCCTGTCCATTTTCCATTCCTAAGAGGGACCTTTCAACTCAATCGAATTGAATCGCCCATAACCTACAAGTTATTTATCAGATAAGTGGGATTTTTACTATTCATGTACATAATTAACCAACTATAGACCCATCTCTATCCTGCCAATAGCCTCAAAAGACTTTGAACGGCTTGTCTATGATTTGCTTATGTTTAATGTTAAATCATCCTTAATCACTGAATAACATGTTTTTTTTTAGGTCAGTGAAATCTAATTTAATAACGTTTTCTAATTTTTTATTAAATACTCTCGATAATAGCAGCCAAGTCGATGTCATATATACTAACTATAGTAAGGTTTTTGACAGGATAGACCATAGAAAATAGCTTCGTAGAAATGCAAACTTTTTATCGGGTTTGTTGGCGGATTTTTTTCGTTTTTCTTTCACTAAGAAATAATACAACTTCCTGGAAGTGCTTTAAAGTGGTCATTTTGTTGATGTTCATACAATTTATTGTATACAAAATGTATTATAGTGGAGTAGCTTTTATGTGGAACTGTGTCCTGTTGCTACCCCCGTGTGTGTAAAATAAATAAATAAAAATATTATTAAAGAAGAAATTGTCAAATTATTAATCAAAAATAATACGAAATTTTAAAAAAATCATATCTTCTGTATTTTAGAGAATTATGATATGATATATTATGTTAAATTGAAGCTTAAAGATTCTACTTTATGATATGATATAAATACTATAAGATAATATTATTGAAATTTCCTGAAAAATATTGTTAAAGAAGAAATTGTTAACCAAAAATAATACGAAATTTTTAAAAAATCATATCTACTGCATTTTTAAGAATTATGATATGATATATATGTTAAATTGAAGCTTAAAGATTCAATTTTATGATATGATATAGAAACTATAAGATAATATTATTGAAATTTCCTGAAAAATATTATTAAAGAATAAATTGTCAAATTATTAATCAAAAATAATACGAAATTTTTCAAAAATCATATCTACTGCATTTTTAAGAATTATGATATGATATATATATTAAATTGAAGCTTAAAGATTCAATTTTATGATATGATATAGAAACTGTAAGATAATATTATTGAAATTTCCTGAAAAATATTATTAAAGAAGAAATTGCCAAATTATTAATCAAAAATAATACGAAATTTTTCAAAAATCATATCTACTGCATTTTTAAGAATTATGATATCATATATATGTTAAATTGAAGCTTAGAGATTCTAGTTTATGATGTGATATAAAAACTATAAGATAATACTAATGAAATTTCGAGGAAAAAATATCAAAGATGCTGTCGTTAATATTAATCAAAAATAATACCTTGAAAGATATGTTAGTCAATATAGCATCAATTGAGCGGTAGGTCAAGGCTTAAAACAGTTTTGGTGCATTTTTCGTACTTCAAAGATAAAAGGCTTTAAAGGTAACGTGAATTTCCAAATTCTAAGACGAAGTTTAGAAAGCTGTGAACATTACAAGAATTTAAAATATTTCATTTATGTACTGTGACATCCACTTTTCATATTTCTTTACAACTTACAATGTCATATTTTACATTCCTTATGTCTTCGTTAATCTCTGATCAGGAAGATACGGAACACCTGTATATAGGTGTCCTACGAAAACGACAAAGTACATAAATAACAAATAAGTAAAGATACAACATTTTTCTTTAGATAAAAGTTGTAGGAAATTAAGCACACTATAAGCCGAAAATATTTCTATACATACAGGGTGTTTCATATACCCGTATCGAAATAAACATTGTTATTTTAATTCCAATGATATAGTTTTTATTACATATTCTGATTCTACACATAAAAATACGTCGATTTTAATAAAACATATTGACACCTAACGTTTTTAGTTTTTGAGTTATTTCAATTCGAATTTTTTTTTAGCATGACTTTTAAATCGTAGTTTCTCAGCGACCCAACAAGCTAGAAAGTTAAAATTTGGCGTAGTTGATGCTTGGATATCTTTAAAAAGAGCGCCATTGGCTACATCGGTTTATCTTATACAGGGTGTTCAAAAATAAGTACTAATAAACAAAATTTGCTTCATTTTGATTAATTCCGCAATATCTCAAAAACCACAACTGATAGGTATAGGGACATTTAGTGAAGATTTGTAGAGAATTTAATTCTCTATCTGATTAGCTAATCAAATACGGGGTGTTTCATTTAAAATTTTGGATTTTTTTGCAAAATAAATCTGATAAAAGAGTAGTTACATTTATAAACAGCCTGTATAAGATAGACCGATATAACTAATTTCGCTCAATTTGTGGATACCTAAAGGGAAAGTGTACCAATTTTTAACTTTCTAGCTCTATCCGTTCTAGAGAAATTCAGATTTAAAGTACATGGTGTTAATTGCTAAAAAAAAGCTTCTAATTAAAATAACTCAAAAACTAAAAGCATTAGGTATTAACATGTCTTATCAAAGTCGATGTATTTTTGTGTGTAGAATCAGAACATGTAATAAAAACTATATCATATCATTTAAAATAAGATATGATTGTTAGTACTTCGTTATGGGACATCCTGTATGGATAAAAATATCTAGTTGTTTATGGCACATTCAATCTTCATCAAATTTGCTTTAAATTGTTCTTTCAATTTAATATCTCAATTCGTTCTTGAGATATAACCTTTTAAAATTTATATTTCATTTCTGTAACAATCAAACATGTAGAGTTGGGTTTAAAAAATCATAACAACGATCTTTATGGGAAATAAGAAATTATTTATGGCACATTCAATCTTTATCAAATTTCCTTTAAAATGTTTTTTATTTGAACTTGATATCTCAATTCGTTCTTGAGATACGATCTTTTAAAGTTTATATTTCATGATAGAAAGAATGATGTGAATGATGAATTAGTGTTTGGATTTATGTTTTAGTGGAAATGTTTCGAGAAAACGAGTAATTTTTTATTGAACGGTTTGAAAACCAGAAAATTCGTCACCCATAGGTTTTTTATTTATGCACCTCCACTATTTCTACTCTGCGTTGCAATCCAAGGAGGGGATGTTGAGATGTTGGTTGGCCAATAACGCTTTTAGTTGATGTGCGGGCATTGTGAGGTGATAAAGTAGTTGCGAAAATTAAAACTTATTACGCGAATTAAGTGATAAATGCTAAATGTTATATTTATGCTAAATGATGAGTGATGTTGAGATCGCCGGATTACTATTTTGTGGATGTTAAAAGGTATCATATTATTTTATTTTTTGTCGCAATAGATTAATTTATCTTTTTTTCCAGCTGAGCTACGATGTCAGAACCAAGGAAGACAACATCCAATCGGTGAGTCATTTCCAAATTTATTTATTTCTTATTTTTACCAAAACAAATCTTGGTTTCCATAAAAAAACCCAATTCGAACCCATTCATTGGATTTGTGCTTGAAAAAAATGTTA